TTTATTTTCTCCATTTATAGTGAACGAAAGCTTGGCTGGGTATAGTAATCTGGGCTTGCATCCATGGTCTCTTAGTTTCTGAAGTACATCTATCCAGTGTCTTCTGGCTTTCATGGTCTCCATGGAGAAGTCAGGTGTAAGTCTGATAGGTTTACCTTTATAAGTAATTTGGCCTTTTTCCTTTGCAGCTCTTAATATTCTTTCCTCATTCTGTATGCTTTGTGTTTTGATAATTATATGGCGAGGGGATTTTTTTTTTTGATCCAGCCTATTCAGTGTTCTGTATGCTTCTTGAACCTTCATAGGTATATCTTTCTTTAGGTTGGGAAAGTTTTCTTCTATAATTTTATTAAATATATTTTCTGGACCATTGAGCTGCACTTCTTCTCCTTCTTCTACTCCTATTATTCTTAGGTTTGGTCTTTTTCTTGTGTCCCATATTTCCTGAATATTTTGTGATGAGAGTTTCTTGGACTTGCTGTTTTCTTTGATCAGTGTGTTTATTTTCTCTATGTTATCCTCAGAATCTAAGATTCTTTCTTCTATCTCTTGTATTCTGCTGGTTATGATTGTTTCTGTAGTCTCTGTGCATTTACCTAGATTTTCCATGTCCAGCCGGCCCTCTGATTGTGTTTTCTTCTTTGCCTCCATTTCAGTTTTCATGTCTTGAACTGTTTCTATTATCTGCTTGATTGTTTTTTCTTGGTTTTCTAGGGTATCATTCATTGATTTACTCAATTCTTCAAACTTTCAGTTATAATTCTCATCCATTTGTATAAAGGCATTTTTTACATGGTGTTTAAGGGCCTCTATCACTTTCATAAAGTCAGTTTTTTCTACTTCTTCTTGATTAAGGCGTTCATGTCCTCCTGTTGTGAGGTCGCTGGGTTCTGGTGGTTTCATGTTGTTTTTCAGATTGTTGGGTGAATTCTTGCATTGGCGCCTGCCCATCTTTTCCTCCTAATTGTACCCTATGGATCTTCTTTTACAGGATCAGGTCTCCTTGCCTACTGATGTACCGTCCCCGTGTTGGGACTCCCCAGTGATGACTCTCCTTGTGCTCCAGTGATGATCTCCGTGCTGGTTGGGTAGCTCGTAAACAAAGCGCCTACCTTGCATGCTGCATGCAGGCTATAGAGACAAAGGAACTACTGCCCTCCTCTTTGCCCTCCCAATTCGGGTTCGGTCCCAGCACCCAAGCAGGCTGAGTTCGAAGGTGCTATGCTGCCAAAGAAGGGAGGGAGGGAGGGAGACAGGGGGTGGGGGGATCTGGACGTAGGCTGGATGGGATGGGGAAAGAAGGTATCGGGCGGTGTAGCCCCTGCCTCAGCAACTTATTTTATTAGACAATCTGATCCAGGCATTAGGCTAGATGCAGAGCTGAGATTGAACCTCCAGTATAATTATTAAATTTGACTTTTGAATGTGAAATACAATAAACCAAACATCAGCAGATGATCTGTCTGGGAGATGAAAGGTAGCAAATCATTTTCTTCAAAGCATGTAGTTTAGAAGAAATGGCCTCCTGGCCATGACTGGACCTTAAAATATGAGATGATTAACAGAAACAACAGCATATATGGGAACCTAAACATGATGTCACATTAAAGTGTAGAGAGGCTTTCTTTTTTTTTTTAAAAAAAAAGCCTTCCTAACAGCTGCCATGAGATGGCAAGGGTTAAGGTTGGAGAACCAATCCAGTCTTAAATCCAGAACTAAGAAAAATCAGTTTTACAAATTTTCAGGGTTGGTGGGAAATATGACATCGCATGATATAGGTTCACCATAGTGCACAAAATTAAGAACACAGAGGAGCAAGTATTGGTTAAAATTAGTCGTTGATGTTAGGCTATAGCAGTGTTCTGAATTTTCTATGACGTGGAAAGTTGCAGGGATGTCTTCCCTGATCTCTTCAAATGGTACAAGATGGCTTTTTAAAGAGTGGAATGCCTTTAGGAGGTAGACAAGTATTAGCTTACGAAAAATTATACAGGGGCAAAAGTCAAGTTAATATCATCAATTTTGCCTTGTAGGTAATGTATTTCCTTAGGCAAAATAATCTTTTGTCTTATAAACCTCAGGTGAAAAAAGATCTTAAGAGGGCAATATATCATAAACCAATGATGTTAGATTATACTCTTGTACACTGTAAAGATTTGTCACTCATATTGGTTTAATAAAATGGTGACTGGCCAGTAGCCAGATAGGAAGTATAGATGGGACAACCAAATTAGAAAAATTCTGGGGAATAGGAAAGCCATATGCAGAGGAAGCAAGATGAAAATGTACCAAGCCATGTAGCTAAACATAGAAAATAATTACAGATTAATTTAAGTCGTAATGTCTAGTTAGTAATAAGCCCAAACAAATTTAAGTTGTAAGGGCTTGTTAGTAATAAGCCTGAATAGGCCAAACAGTTCATAATTAACATAACCCTCGATGTATTAATTTGTGACTGAATGGCTGTGGGAATGTGAGGGACAGAAAGTTCTGTCTACAAGCTAATGTAAAACCAAGACACAGAAAAGTACATCCAGAAAAGTTCTTAAGAAACATGGATTTAAGCTCTGTCAAATAAACTACTTTCTAAAATAGTGGTTCACAAGCTGTGGCTCATGACCCCATTGTGGGTTAACAACCCTTTTACAGGGGTCTCTTAAACAAATTTGAAGTAACAATGAAATGCAAATTTGAAGTAACAATGAAAATTTTTTTATGGTTATGGATCACCATAACATTAAGAACTGTATTAAAGAGTTGCAGCATTAAGAAGGTTGAGAACCATTGTAATTCTTTTGTATCTTTTAATAGGAGAATGAGCCTTCATCTTCAATGATAGCTACCTGTCAAGATGTTTCGAAAGTGCTCAGTTAATATGTCTCAGTAAAAATGATTTTAGATAACCATCAGGCACTCTGGTAACTCTAGGTTTTGACAGGAGAAATTTTAAGTGTTTAACATGGTGATTGGATTTGTTCTTTTGCTTTGTTACAACTGAACCCTCTTTTTAAAATTAAACTTTAGTAACCAGTGCTAATAGAAATGTTCAAAACACCTGTCTATGCAAAACCAGTCTAATCTTAAAAATTAATTATTGGAAAAAAAGATTACAGCTAAAGTAGCTAGGACAGTGCTAGTCATTTGTAGATCTGTTAGGGAAAAAAAAACAAGGTATGTGAAACTAGACACTGGTTTTCCAGGAATTGTATAAGCAGTAATGTACAAGAGACACTCAAAATATATAAGCTGCTCAAAGAAGCTTAGACCAGCTAAATGATCTGGAAGACACACTAAGTACAGGCCGTGCAGTGTGCTCTAGGTTTTGGATGGGGTGGGTAAGTCATTTCTGCTACAAGTTAATTAATCTCTGTAGTTAATTGTAAGTTAACCTCAAAGCACTACATCAGTTCACCAAGTTAGATTCTTGTGGTCTCATTATTTTGGTCTGTGGCTGTTTCCTTATCAAGAGTGAGTAACTGCTTGCTCTTGACTTCCCAAGAATATTGTGTCTCAACATACTAAGTTATATCCTTAACTTTTTCCTTGAAAAACAAAGAGCTGTGAGTCACAAAACAAAAATAACATCTCTGCTGGTGGTGTTGTTGGTGGTGATGCCTTTCATCTCATGAAAGTACCATGGAAATACAAAAGGGCTGAATGTGGATATTTATTCCTTTTTGTCCCACATGAAACAAAATATTAAGAATTATTTGGATTACTGAACAGAGAAGAAATCTGCAAATGACCATGAACAAAGGGGGTAATATTTTCAAAAATTTTATCAATAATTTGCCGTTTTTTAGATTAAGGTACATTCTGGCCCATTCTGTTTAACAATGGGCCAAGGAATATATCAACTATATCAAACAGGCACATCAAGTTACAGGTTAAAGACTATGGTCATTTGAAGTATTAGTTGTATAAAATGCCTATTAACTAATTCAGTGTTCATGGTAGTTTTTAACTGCACAACTGTTATTAGTAATAAGAATTCACCATATAAAAGTATGATTACAAAAGGAAATTTAAATAGTAGTAATAATTTTGTTTTTTTTTTTAATGGAGCAAATCTTTATACTAGAGCTTAATGTGTCTGAAATGTTAGGTCAATGTCACACCAGAGCATGCTATGAATAAAATTAAATGTATAGTCTGTGAAAATGTGTAGATATTAATAAAGCACCAAGAAATAAAACAGAATAAATTTTCCCAATCTTTATTTATGAATCCAGCAAAATTTCTACAAAGCGGCAAAATTTTCATTAAGTATGTTGTATTGCTTGTGGAAATATTTAGTGTGAAGAGAGCTTCCAAAATACTATATATAATAAAAAGTTACCACTTTAAAAATAGTACTAATCTGAGAATCTTAAATAACAAACAACAACTCAGAATTATTTTAATTAAGTAGTTTCTGTTTTAACTGAAGCCTCTCCTCTATCTCAAAAGAACAGATTTTATGAATGGACAAAGAAAAATGGTGCTTCGAAGCATGACTGAGGATAACAAGAAAATAAGCCAGATATTTTGGAAAATGACAATTCAAAATGTTGTGGAATCTGATGATAGCCATTTAATTATAAGACTGAGGAAGCACGTTTAGAAGCCTAATCTAATAAACTCTACAAAATAATAAAAAAATCAGTACAGTTCCTCTACAATAGAAAAATATCAAGTACAGCTCTTCTATTATGCTTCTACACATTGTAGTAAAGCAAAAAGATGCATATTTGTTACTTTTTTGAGAATGAGAATTAATGTCAAATAATATATTTTGTACATTTTATCTTTTGCACACTGGTACTGGCATTCATCATAAAACACTATACATATTCCACAGTAGGTGATTTATATAATCACAATAAACACAACAAATACTTCCAACTCCATGTTTATTTGGAATCTCTTTTTATACTTTTAAATACTAAGCAGGCACAGAAAAAGCTCTGCATATAAGGCCAAAATGCACTGACACAACAAACCAGTTATTTATTTGTGTGTCACTGATCCTTTGTTAGGGGTGAAGATACTTCTTCATTGCTTTCATAAGTTTCTTGTGGTTCATCGTTTTTCTGAGGGTTATTCAAGAGATGTGCTCCTCGATTTGAATATGGCTGTTCAGGTACATAATTCTAGGAGGGGAAAGAAATTTTCAGCTCAAACTTTTCAAATATTACAATTTAAAATTTAAACCATATGTTCAAGCTTTTTAAAGCAGATTTAAAAATGTTACTACAACCTGTTTTATTAAATTCACGTAGTTGTTAAACAAAGAACTTACAGACTGATTCCTATGTTAAAGTCCCATCTGAAAAAGTAAGTATATATAAATCTTTGAACAATTTTCTTTGTTTTATATTTATAGAGAGGAAGCATTTAAGACTTTTCTATGTCTAACTCTGATAAAAATAAAGGCATTCCAAGTATGGCTCTTATAGCATCACTGGAGAACTTGCCAAACATGTCTGTTTTGGAGAAAGAATTTTCCTATGTAGATCAGGATGGTTTCAGCTAGAATATTTCCACAGCTGTATGTGGGAAATATGAAAACTACAGTCATGCACCATCATTTATAGAGTCAGAACATAAAATCTTTAAGGTTCTAATTAAGTACTTTCAAGCCACGGTTAGACTACATTTGAGAATGACTTTCTTAAAAGAACTGAACTATATAACACTCTTGGCTTAATATTATGACTGTCTTTCCAGAAGTGCCTCTTCCTGAAATCTTTTTTAAAAAATCTCATAAAACTGTTCAATCCGTAGTTAACTATTTTTTTTTTATTTTTCTTTGTTTCATGTTTCCCAGGCTGGCCTTGGACTTGTAATGTGTCCAGATGTTAACTCTCCCTAGACCTAGCTAAATTGTTCTAATGTATGAATTCCATTAATGAAAAACAAATAGAAGACTAATCTAAATTTTACATAATCACAATACATGGACATTGCCTTATAAATCAGTAACTTTTCATTCATGTTTTTACGTCTTTTATCAACTAATGTCTTTTAACTTATTTCTTACCTTTTCTGGCAACAGGTCACAGGCTTTTGCAAGTGTCATTTTTGCACTATGAGATCTCTCTAAAAAATAACCGTCTGATGTTTCATTGCTTTGTATTGGAGGAGAAGAATTGCTGTAAGTGCAGTGAGGATTACAAGAATATGTTCTTCTTTCAAGTTCATCTCCGAGCCATTCAACTGCCCTAGTCCATTCCTTTTTAAGATCTCCATTACCCTTAAATAGAAAAACAAAACTATATGTTTAGAATTAAGAAATTAGGGGGCTGGAGAGATGGCTCAGAGGTTAAGAGCATTGCCTGCTCTTCCAAAGGTCCTGAGTTCAATTCCCAGCAACCACATGGTGGCTCACAACCATCTGTAATGGGGTCTGGTGCCCTCTTCTGGCCTGCACAGACAGAATATTGTATACATAATAAATAAATAAATATTTAAAAAAAAAGAATTAAGAAATTAGCTGTGCAGTGGTGGTGTGCGCCTTTTAATGCCAGCACTCGGGGGAGGGGCAGAGGCAGGCAGATCTCTGAGAATTCAAGGCCAGTCTGGTCTAGAGTGAGTTCCAGGACAGCTAGGGACATGAGAAAGAGAAGTCCTATAACAAAAAACCAAAAATCATTAGGAAATTAAATTTACTATTTCAACCTAAAATGGGAACTCCCAAACTGTGTTTTCTTTGGAAATTTTGAGTCAGAACTTCATAAAACTATTTCAAAAAAAAAAAAAGACTTTTACCTGTAAGATTTGGTAGGCAACAGGACAACTGTTAAAGAGAGTTACCATGCATTTAATACACTGATATGCTCTTTTTTGGTAGTGATTCTTACAACGCTGAATTGTATCAAACAGCCCATCTCGATCATTTGGAATTCCTTTAAGTGCTTTATGAATTCTGAAAAGATCCCAAAACAAGACAAAATTGTAACACCTAGAAGAAATGCACTTTTCTTTTCTCTTTCTTTCTATCTCACTAACAGACCAGGCTAGCATTAAAGTCAAAGAGATCTATCTGCCACTGTTTCCCAAATCACCACATTTGTTCAAAGCCAATAATTTAAAATGATTTCTGTGCATAAATCAATCCTTTTGAGGTAAATATAGTTTCTTTTTGAAAAGTAGGTAGTATTAGTAAAACCCATCAATGCTAATCAAAAGAAACAAAAATTGTAACACCAACCAAAATAAACAATTGAAAATTATGGAAAGTTAGTGAAAGGAGTTTCACAACATTTGTTTCATGGTAACTTTTTTTTTTGGCTCTTGAAATTTCTTTAACATTAGTTGATTTATTGAATGCTTTTTGTTATTAATTCTAGGTACTGTTCTGAAAACAGTTGATAATCACATTGAAATTTATGATAAACTGGGTGACAATTTGAAACTACTAATAATTTATGCAATCTAACATTTCTAATCTAAAAACAAGATTGCAATAGAATTTTTCTTAACTGAAATGTAAATAAAATTTAATAACCACTTAACTGAACAAGGAAAAAGTAGAAGTACACTTTTTCACTGTCAGGTGCAATTTTTCCAAGAACTTGTGAAGCTAATTATGCTGTTAGAATAGAGGTGTACCATACCTATGAGTTTGCCAGGAATCCTCCATCAGAATAATTTGCAAGAGTAGATCCAAATGTTGCCGAAGTTCATATGTATATGAATATGCAATCTAAAAATAGTTTAAGGCACAGTTAGATTGCATTTAAAGGACTATGAATAAAAGTAGATATTTTTATTTTGCTTTACCTGCCAAAGCAGTTCGCTGAGAACAGAAGATGAGAATTGGGGATTCTCCCAGCAGCAGAAGCAAAGTAACTTGACTGTTTCCTCTGAGTTGCTGTAGTTTTCAATAATTTTCTTCACATAAGTGGTTCTTACAAATAAAATGTCATCCACATTCTGCTGAATTGGCATTATGGGCTGTGACAAATTTGGGTCACCAAAAGGATTTGGAAGAGGGGAATTACCTGCAACATATTTGTCATTAATGAAAAACCTCAAAATTGTAATAAAAGATTATTCCAAACAATGAAATCTGATGTTTACACTCTCTATAAAGCACAGTAGTATACATTCGATAAAGTGATCAAATTATAGATCTTAAATGGTAGTTTCTGGAAGTGAGAAAAATAATCTTCAAAAGGCTTGGAATACTTCAGAAATTTGTATGTCCTTCCTGAGCAGGGGCCATGCTAATCTTTTTATCATTCTAATTTTGTGAATTAGGTGAGAGAATAGGATCCTGATGATTTTCTTCACTCATATGCTATAGCACATATATGAATACATATAGTAAACTAAAAGCTATTTATTAGTAGCTGGATTAAAAGAAACCAATTTAAAACATAAATAAGCTAACATTTTTTTGATGGTAATACTGTCTAAAGCTTGTAGTTCCAACATGTGAGAAGCTGAGTCAGGAGAATTGTTGTGAGTTACAACTCAGTTAGTGCCCAATCATATGACAAAAGCATTTGTTCAACTATGTTCATAGCAGCATTATTTGTAATAGCCGGAACCTGGAAACAACCTAGATGTCCTTCAATGGAAGAATGGATGAAGAAAGTGAGGAATATATACACATTAGAGTACTACTCAGCGGTAAAAAACAATGACTTCTCGAAATTTGCATGCAAATGGATGGAAATAGAAAATACTATCCTGAGTGAGGTAACCCAGACCCAAAAAGATGAACATGGGATGTACTCACTCATAATTGGTTTCTAGCCATAAATAAAGGTCAGTGAGTCTATAATTGGATATCCTAAAGAAGCTAGATAAGAAGGTGAACTCAAAGAAAAACATATAGCTATCCTCCTGGGTAGGGGAAGTAGACAAGATTGCCAAGCAAAAAATCGGGATCTTAAGGGTGGGGTGGGAGGGGGGTAAGGGGAGATGGGGAGAGAAAAGTGAGAAGGGTAGGATGGGGAGAACTTGGGGCAACGGGGTGATTGGGATAAAGGAAGGTTGGATAGGAGAGCACGGAAGCACATATCTTAATTAAGGGAGCCATCTTAGGGTTGGGAAGAGACTTGATCCTAGAGTGGCTCCCAGGTGCCCAAGGTGAGGTCCCCAGTTAGTTCCTGGGACAGCTGAAGATAGGGAACCTGAAATGGCCCTATCCTATAGCCATACTGATGAATATCTTGCATATCACCATAGAACCTTCATCTGGCGATGGATGGAGATAGAGACGGAGACCCACACTGGAGCACTGGACTGAGCTCCCAAGGTCCCAATGAGGAACAGAAGGAGGGAGAAGATGAGCAAGGAAGTCGGGACCACGAGGTGCGCACCCACCCACTGAGACAGTGGGGCTGATCTGTTGGGAGCTCACCAAGGCCAGCTGGACGGTGACTGAAAAAGCAGGGGATAGAACCGGACTCTCTGAGCATGGCGGACAATGAGGGCTGCTGAGAAGCCAAGGACAATGGCACTGGGTTTTGATCCTACTTCATGTTCTGGCTTTGTGGGAGCCTAGCCAGTTTGGATGTTCACCTTCCTAGACCAGGATGGGTGGGGGGACTTTGGACTTTCCACAGGGCAGGGAACCCTGTCTGCTCTTCAGACTTGAGAGGGAGGGGGAGAAGATTGGGGGGATGGGGAGAGGAGTGGGGGGAGGGGGGAGGAGTGGGAGGCTGGGAGGAGGCGGAAATTTTTTTTTCTCAATAAAAAAAAAGACTACATAGTGAATTCTAGGCCTAAGCAAGAGAGGAGGAAGGAAGGGAGGGAAAGGGGAAATGGGAGAGAGAGAGTGATAAAAAGGGAACATATGCGAGAGAGAGTGGAGGGGAGAGAGGTTGTGCAAAAATAAAACAATAAAACTTCCTCCCAAACAATAAACTAATCCAAAAAGTTATCATCTAAAAATAATGAAAAATGCATCATACTTCAGACTTCTATTTTATAAACTTTCAGTATTACTTGGAGTATAATGCACAGCTAACAATACTTTGAAACTATTACACAATAAAGCATTCTACTTTACCACTGATTGAAGACTGCATTCTTGATGAGACACTGCAACATCGTATCAGTTGAGATACTACTGAGTATAACTTACCTAACTCAGCATACTGGTATTTAATTGGAGGACCTGGCCCTTCATCCAAAGACACAAGCATAAAGATAGCAGGTACATTTAGTTTTAGAAGCTGAGCTTTTTCTGCCAAACCTATAAAAACGGAAGATCATTTTGTAAGAAAAAGGATGAATTGAATGACAGTTCTTTGTAAGTTATGAATAAAATTCTCACTATTAGTTTTGAAATAGGTAACTACAGGCAGAATGTGGACAGAAAACACTGATATTAAACACTAAGTATTAAAAAAGGAAATTATCATGATAGTAGTGTCTTGTTTTTCCCATTTATTTATAAATATGAGAGTTTCACTTGCGTTGTTTCTGTGAACCAACAAGCATGTTTTAGTCCCCAAGGAAGAAATGGGTTTACATGTAAGTCCCGGGAATCAAACCAGGCTCACAAGTGTCCTTAACCACTCTTCAGCCCTCAAAGATACTAGCTTATTAACTACACTAGGTCAAAAAAGAAATTAACAAACTTTCTAGCAGAGGAAAAAAAGGAGAAATTAAAAGGCAAGTCAATTTTTTTTTCTGTGTGTGAACTATCAGTCTCTTTCACTAAGTGCAAAAATTCCTTGGGTAAAGAAGTATTTTTGTTGTTTTTGTTTTTTCAAGACAAGATTTCTCTGTGTAAAAGTCCAAGCTTGCCTTGAACTCAGAGCTCTACCTGTGTCTGCCTCATAGCGCTGGGATTAAAAGTGTGCATCACCACTGCCTGGCCAAAAAAGTATATTTATACTCTTCTTTCCTCTTTGATATCTGTCTCAATTTTCTTAACTCGAAACTAAAGAAAAAGAATTATTAAATCTCTATTTACTTATTTATTTCCCCCTTGGTTTTGACACAAGGTTTTTCTGGGTAGCAGTCCTAGCTATAAACCAGGCTGGTCTTGGACTCACAAAGATCAGCCTACCTCTGCCTCTGGAGTGCTCGAATTAGTCTTTCAAAAGGCAACATGAATCAGTTATAGAATCTAATATAAATTCTATCACAAGATAGTTTTTTAATTAAAAGGGTTAAATACAAGTTACCTTATGGTATAAGATGAAAAGCACCATAAAATATTAATTAGAAAATTTACAATTGGTTTTAAAGATATGATAACATACTTTAAAAGAATAATTATTATTAACTTTATGGTTTCATTTTCATAGTCATGAAACAATCATTAAAAGAATTAAGTGGGGGCTGGAGAGATGGCTCAGAGGTTAAGAGCACTGCCTGCTCTTCCAAAGGTCCTGAGTTCAATTCCCAGCAACCACATGGTGGCTCACAACCTGTAATGGGGTCTGGTGCCCTCTTCTGGCCTGCAGGCATACACACAGACAGAATATTGTATACATAATAAATAAATATTAAAAAAAATAAAGGTGTGAACTTCCACATACAACTCTGATGTATGATTCTCTTTAAAAAAATAAATAAAAGAATTAAGTATACTCCTTACCTAAACTGGCATACATTACAAATAAACTGAAGTATTGCTGTAAATGTCGCCCATGTTCAGAAACTTCCCTTCTCAAGAGATTTAATACAGCTTTTAGTAAATGATCACTCAAGTTCAAATTATCACATATCTGGAAAAACAACATTCTATCAACAGCTACATACATCGATGTATTTTTGTTGGCATAAAATGGTTACATTCCTGTATATGGAAAAAAATTCAGGTTTATCAAACAGGAAATAAAGAACTTCATCAAGCCTTCACACTTGGTATTGTTCATAAAAGAGCAAAAATATATGTGCGTGGTTGTTTGAAAAGGCCAACAAAGGAAGTAGCATTATAAGGAGATGTGACCTTATAGCCTCTTTGGAGGAAGTGTGTCACTGGGGAGATATACACATACATACATACACACACACACACACACACGCACACACACACACACACACACACACACACACACACACACACTGAGGTCATATATATGCTCAAGATACTGCCCAGTGTCTCAGAACATCACCTCTTGTTGCCTGCAAGCCAAGACATAAGAACTCTCAGTTACTTTTCTAGCATCACATCTGCCTGCATTTTGTTTTGCTTCCCACCATGCCAATAATGGACTAAGTCAAACAACTGTACAGGCCAGCTATCCAATTAAAGGTGTTCCTTATAATAAGTGTCATGGTCATACTGTCTCTTCATAGCCAGAGAAACGCTAGCTAAGACAAAAGTTAAGGATACTTAACAAGGTGTTAAGGTTTGTTTTTGAAACAAGGTCTATGTAGCTCTACCTATTCTGGAAGTCAGACTGGCTTGGACCTAGCAGAGACTTGCCTATCTCTGACTCCTCAATAGTAGAATAAAAAGGCATGCACTACCATACCATACGGAATGTTACAGTTTATAAATCTGGGTTTGATTGCATATAAGTTCGAGAGAAGTCTGAACTATGTATTGTGATCTGTCTTTACCAAACCCAACAGGGTATTTAACAAAAATATTGTGATTATAAGATCAAACTTTAAACACATTCTGAAGATATAGTCAATATCTGAGTAGAAATTTCCATATCAAAGTGCCCAGTGACAAATTTTCATTAGCATAAAATAATTTTAAAAACCTGCAAGTGTTACAATGTACATTTAGATGAATGGTAAATATTTCAAATGCAACACATAAATATTATTTTAATTGTAAGACACAAAATTTTATTTTTAACTAACTAACTATTACAGAGAAGCTGACAATTACCTGACCACAAGGTGCTGGACTTGCAAAAGGTGATAAAAAGGGTGAAGGATAAGATCCATCTTGCAAAGAAAAATGTGCAATGGATACGATAAGCTTTGCAAATGTACCTCTCACTTCTGCACTTGGACATTCCAGGAGATACTCAGAAAAACGATTTGATACATTAAATAGGACATTGTGAGCAAACCAAAATCGTACATTCTTGCTGTGACGGAGAAGAATACACAGCACATCGCACCTAAATCAGAAACATCTATTAGTATTGATTTATTAAGATACTTACTGGGGGTTCTCTACAAAAGAGGAAGTTTTTTATGAAACAAAAAAAATGAGGCTATTGTTGGTTCAGATACAAATGTCATATTAACCAATAAAGTATTATAACAAGTTCCACAAAGTAATCAAATGCGTTAAGTCAATGATGATGTTGAGTCTCTGTAAAAATCAACTTCTTTAATATAAATGATGTTGAAAGAGTTTTTATAGGTAGATAGTATGTTTTGTAATTTTATAGTTAGTAATGATTTAAAATTACAGCTAAGAAAATTTCATCTACTAAGTGACACAGCTTTACTCTTTTCACAGTGAAAAAGACCATAAGAATATGCCACGAATAAGAAATAACAGAAAACATTTGTGCTGGAAAGAAAGCTCAATAGTTAACAAATTATACAGCTACTGCAAAGGATGTAGTTCAGTTGTTAGCATCCATGTCTAACAGCTCAGAACTGCTAGTAGCATTAAATCTGGTGCTCTTTTCTGGCCTTCTCATGCACCTGGACATATGTAGCATAGACCCAGACACATACAATTAAAAATAACATGTTTTTAGAGACAAGTTTCTCTGGGTATCCTATGTAGAATAGGCTGCCCTCAAACTTACAGAGATCCATATACCTCTGCCTCTAAAGTGCTGGGATGAAGGGTGTTCACTACCACTGGGCCTGGATGTAATAGTCAATTATTGAAAAACTAAGTCTAATAAAATTTTTCTGAGGTCTAGGTGTTGTAGGAGAAATCTTAATCCCAGCTATGGAACACAGAGGCAAGCAAGACCTATAGAGCCAAGTCCAGGGTAGGCAGAGTACATAGTGAGACTGTCTCAAAACAACAGGAGTAAGAGAGACAGACCCCTCTTCACAGGACATGGAGTGTTAAATTTCCAATACCCATATCATGGGTCAGAGATATCTGTAACTCTAGTTTTAGGGCATCTATGAATGCTAGGAAATGTGTTACACACCCATAAATGACGGGAAAACAGTCTTTCTTAACAGTATACACAAAATACAAACAATTTGGAAGACTTTCCTCATATCAGTCCAAAGATCTTTCTCTGATGTTTGAAATTAGTATTGTCCTGTCACGGTTAAACACATACATACATGCACACACACATAACACAGCACCAGCTTGCTCTATATAGAGAGTACCAGGACAGTCAGGGCTACACAGAGAAACTAGGTATTAAAAACCCAAAAAAGGCAGGCAGGCAATGGTGGCCAAAGTCTTTAATCCAAGCACTCAGGAGGTAGAGGCAGGCAGATCTCTATGAGTTCAATGCCAGTCTAGTATACAAAGCAAGTTCTTAGTATAAGGCTACACATGAAAAAAGTCTCAATCCCCCAAAACCCAAACAAATCAAAACCAACCAACCAAAAACAAACAAAAGCCAAAAATCCAACAACAACAACAACCAGAACAACAACAACCAAACCATATAGCTGGGCAATGTTAATTCTGACACTCAGGAGGCAGAGGCAGGGGGACCTGGGTGTTTGAAACCAGCAAGGTGTGCATAGTGAATCATATGACAGCCAGACATAGACAGATACATAAGAGACACCATCTGAAAAAAAAGAAAAACAAACCAACCAACAACCAAAGAAACAAAACCCTAAGCAAAAATTGAAAAAGAAAAAAAAAACACCTAAAGAACCAAAACAGTAAAGTAAACATACCAATTATGTTAGAACACATAAAAAATGAAATTCATACTCATACCAGTCATCAGCAGGGCCACGGACTATTTTCTTAGTATGAAATCCAGTTGTAAAAAGGAATCTAGCAGCTAGCTGAATGCTAATCATTGTAATATCTTCCGCTTCAGGTGGCAAATGATCTTGTCCTTTAAGTTAAAAAGCAACACATAATTAGACATGTTTTATTTCAAGTTAAAAATAAAAGTTTTATTTCAGTGTTAACAAATACAAGAACCATATTTTCTACAACTTTTACTTTAAAATAGATCTTACTGAAAATGCTGACATATTAAATGGATTCAGGTGAATCAATGTACAAAGGTGTGTGTGTCTACATACTGAGTTCCAGGACAGCCAGTTACATAATAAAGACTGTTCTTCAAAAACCAAAAACCCCACCAAACGTTAAGGTAAAAATAGAAAAGATAAATTTAAGCACTGTGATATTTGGTAAGAAATTCTTCAAATCATTCACTAGATACCACTTTCATAGGATGTAAGTTCCAGGAAACTTACCTGGAGCAGGGTTTAAGTACACAGCATTACAGGTAAGCAGTTTCTTAATGAACTGAAAATATTCTAAGCTATACTGCATTTGATTATGCAGGAATTGCACATTTTGTTTCCATACATTTCTCTGAATGGCTGGTGACATAATCTGATGAGGTCTTGTGACTGTTAGCTTTGATATAGGTGTTACCATCTTGTCTTCATCAGTTGTACTAATCTGTTCATAAAACAGAATATACGCATTCCACCACCTTTTCTGACGCCTGTATGAAATGCGTTTCATAATATGGTCAAACACTTCTCCCATGTACTCTCCACCAAAGCACTGATTTTTCATTTCTTCGTCATCATCCATCTTACACTCTGTCACGTCCCCGTCATCAAATTTGAACCAGCGACCCCTCTCACTGTCTTTACTATTTCTTTGAATGATGTAAGAATAATAATGTCCACCATTTGCTTGACCACTGTGAACAAGGACACCAACAAGTCTATACTTTGTGCTTCCTGCTATCACACTTTCACATTGCTCATTCTGCTGAATTAAATGAGTCAATGGATTTACACTATCAGCTTCCAGTCTTGTGACGCCTGCTACTGTGTAAGGTTCCATATCCAGTTCTCTTGGGAATTCAAAGTAATCATTGAATTTGATTGCACATTCTCTTTCCCAGTCATAGTCAAATCGTTTCAGTTGGATAGCAAGAACAGTAGGGAGTTTTTTAATCAGTAGGCGCTTTACTGTATCAACCTAAAACAGAAAATATAAATCCAATACATAAAATTTAAAAATCAATCATCTAAATTTACATATGTTACAAATATGGAATATAATCAATGTCATTTTTCAACAATATTTGCAAAACATTTAAATAAGTATGCCTCTTCTTATAAGATGCAAAATAGATATTCCTGAAGGGATTCCATATTGTCACTGTTATCCAATCACCCCTTCAAGGTAGATCGGGAATTTAAAATCGTATTTCCTACATGAGGCACTGTCACGTATGGTGCGGGAGAATTGCCTGTATTCTGTCAATCATGTTTTAAATAAATGCTGATTGGCCAGGCAGGAAGTTCAGGTGGGAAAACCAAACAGGAAGTAGAAATGATGTAATGAGAACAGGAGAAATCTGGGAAGGAGGAAGTTGATTCCTCCCACTCCTGCCCAGACCACCGAAGCAGCACTGATGTGATCTGCTCTGCTGAAAAAAGGTACTGAGCCACATGGCTAACAGATCAGAAAAATGGGTTAATCAAGATGTGAGAGTTAGCCAGTGAGAGGCTAGAGCTAATGGGCCAATCAGCTTATAATTTATGGAGACCTATGTGTGATTTTCTTTGGGGCTAAACAGTTGTGGGGTAAAGGGTGGGACAGAAACACAAACAAGCAGACCCCTCATGTTACACACGTAACCAACCTACTACAATACAGACAGCTTAAAGAGGTATGTGGGTCAAGAAATAGGTGTATTATTTACTGTATACTATATTTAAACATAGTCTGTTTTTATATTCTACAATCTAAAAGCTCACAGGTAATTGACTGAATGTAATAACCATAAATGTACATAAAATAAAGGAGTTGTGAAAATCTGGTACAATCAAATGAACTTGATTTGGTGAGTAATCTGGAGTAAACACTTTTAAACTATTACTACAGAGTCAGGATCTCACTATGTAGTTAAAATTAATTAGCTAGTTCTGGGATTGAAGTTTGTACCACAGTTAACTATTACTTATTATATATGTATTAGTATGTCTTTGTGGGCTTTTGTATCTGTGAGGGCATGTGTATGTGTAGATAGATGCCTATGCACAAAGGCTCAAAGTTGATGCTTCTTCACTTTCTTCCTTATATATCAAGAAAGGATCTCTTATTGAACCTAGAACTCACCATTCTGCCTATTTAGTCTAGCAGTTTGGTCCATAATTCCTTGTTTCTGTCTTCTACACAGTGGGATTATAAGTAGGCGGTCACGCCCACCTAGTTTTTAAAGTGAGTTCTAGGAACCTGAACTCCAGTATTCACATTGGGTAGCAACCATTTCCCCCAAATCTACAAATTCTTTCTATTTTTGGGATGGGGTTGGTGGGAGATGGATGGGGGAGAAAGATGGGGACTGTGTATTACTGCCTGGCATGATGCGCTACATAAACCAGGTTGAGTATGGACTCACAGAGTTGTACCTGTCTGTGCTTCTTAAAAGCAGGGTGTGCCACACCTTGTCATGATATTGTTTTGCTGACGAATCTATACATAAGCTAGAATGCTAATTTCTTTTATGGGACCATTAATGGAAATTAAAGACATAACAGCACTAGGCACAGTTGTTCATACCTGAAATACCAGTATAGGTAACTCTTGAAGCAGGAGTCTAAGTTCAAAGCTAGTCTGGGCTATATAGTTCTAGTCCAGCCCAAGTAACAAGTTTTCCTGAACTAAGCAAATGTTCACAGGGGTGGTGCTATTTGGAAAAATTATGGTCATCTTGGAGGAAGTTTATCACTAGGGGTGAGGGCTTTGAGAGAAAAAAAAACTTGCCTACTTCTGCTTTGCTCTTTTTGCTTTGAACTTGAAATTTAAGATGTGAATTCTTATCTTGCTGTTCCAGGCAGCACATGCCCTACTTCCCTGTGATAGTGATGAACTGTTATCCCTACGGTACCATAAGCCCAAATTAACTCTTCCTTCTATAAATTGCCTTGGCAATGTTGCTGTATCACAGCAATAGAAAAGTGACTAATATATCAATCAGGCAGTCAACCAATGCAACCATTCACTCAAACACGAGACAGAAGTTAATTTTAAAGAAAACTACAAGCAACTCCAAAGTCTTCTGGTTTTGTTACATACTGTAATAACCTTGAAAGCTATAAAACATACCTTTTTATCACATTTTTCACAATGATATGCATTTGCACCTTCTAATAAATCTCCCTTGATATACTGTTCCAAAGAATCAAGAAGATTTTGGTGATTTCTAATGTCTACATTCAGAGTTGTAAAAGATTCTTCACACTCATACCTAAAAATATCAGGAAACAAAGGAATTTAAGTTTAAAATCTTTTTGTCTTGGTCATTATTCTACTTCAGTGAAAAGACACCATGACCAAATCAGTTCTTAAAAAAAGAAGACGTTTATTGGGTTTGTTTAAGTTCAGAGGCATAGTCCAGTGTTGTGAATGAACATGGCAGCATACATGGCACTGGTGCATAGCTGAAAGCTCTTTCTGGTCCACAGGCTGAGAAAGTGAGATGGCACTGGGTCTGGCTTGGCCTTCCGAAACCTCAAAGCCATTAATCCCAGCATTGAGCAGACAGATGCTGGTGAACTTGAAGCAAGCCTGGTCTATGTAAATAAAGTCTAGGCCAGCACACTAGATAGTAAGATCAAGCCCCAAAATAAATAAGTAAAAATGAAAATAAAACAAGAAAATTATTAATGATCAGGCTTAGCAGTTAAGAATACTAGTTTCTTTTGGAGAAGACCTCTTTCAATTCAGCATCCATAAGGCATTCTACAACCTAGTAGTCAAAAGAGTGTTAAGAGCAATGACCCCTATTTTTGTTTATTTTATTTTCAGGTAGGGTCTTTCTACTAGTCCTGGCTATGTCAGTACTTGCCACGTAGACTAGGCTAGCCTTTAACTAACAAAGATACATCTGTCCTGCCTCCCAAATACTGGGACTAAATGTGTGCACAGTTATACCCAACTCAAGCAATTTCTCCAAGTTGTTAGCCCCAAGTAGCAAAGAAGTCAAATCCTTGGTAAACAGGCAATACAAATAATGCTTTAAGCACATCATTTGAAAAAAAAGATAAATTAGTATCTAACTGAAGGTGTTGAGAATAAGTGATTAATGAATTCTAAAAACTCTGTACCTCTATATCACCCCTTCCAGGGTCTGGACTAATGCTCTAAAAACTCCTATGAGTCAGCCTTGAATAAACTATCCAACAAAGCTATTAGCCAACAAAAGATTTGAAAAGAAAATTATTCCATGATAAAACCAAATTTAATCAGTATTTATCTAATAATCAAGTTTTACAGAAGACAGTAGGAAACATCAGTCTGTAAATGTTAACCATACCCCAAAAGACACAAATAATCCCATAGTATAGTAATAAGGGTAGGAGTGAGAGGACCACACTATGGAATAAAATAAAAGGACCAAGAAATGCTACCTATTAAAGACCCCCAATTTTAATGCCTTCAATTTGCCAATAGAAAGACATAGACTAGTAGACTGGATTAGAAAACAGGATCCCTCCTACTGTATCCACAAATTACACCTTACCATTAAGGACAGAAATCACCTCAGGGTAAAGGATGGGAAAACATTTACAAGCAAAGGCACCCATAGAACAAGCCATGTAGCCATTTTAATATCTGACAATATAGGCTTTGAATAACAACTTAGCAGAAGAGACAGAAGGAACACTACATAGTCATCAAAGAAAAAAAAAGCCCACCATGAGGACACTAGAATTCTTAATACCTGTGCAACAACAACAACAAAATAAATAAAAAAATAAATTCAAACAACAAAAAAGTCCACCGAACAAACAAAAATACAAAAAACCCCACAAACCACTTAAATACATATTAATTACAGATAACATAATTATTGACCCTCACTGATAGTGGGAAACTTCTCTACTCCACTCTCTCCAATAGACAGGCCATTTAGACAAAAACTAAACAGAAATTCTGGCACTAAGTCACATCTTAAACCAAAAAGACCTGACTAATACTTGCAGAATAGTCAAACACAAAGGAATATACCTTCTTCTCAGAGGCTCAATAAACTTCCTCTAAAACTGAATATTTACTCAAACATACAGCAAGTTATCCGCAGAAAAACATAAAATTGAAATAACAAGCTGTATCCTATTAGCCTCCATGGATTAAAGTTGCAAATCAACAAATGAAAGAATAGAAACCCATAAAAACCGAACACCTCATTACTGAGTAATAAATAGGTTAATTCAGAAATCAAGAAGAAAATTAAAAGTATTTTAGAATTGAATGAAAATGAAAACATAACCTGCCCAAACCCATGAGATACAGTAGAAATGGTTCTGTAACATGAAATTGGAGAGATATCTCATATTAAGTAACTTTATACATGAAGGTCTCAAACAGTGTTTCTCAACTTTACTAATGCTGCTACCCTTTAATACAGTTCTTCATGTTGTGGTGACCCACACTGATAAAACAATTCCTGTTGCCAGGCGGTAGTGATACATGCCTTTAATCCCAGGAGGTAGAGGCAGGTGGATCTCTTTGAGTTTGAGGCCAGCGTGGTCTACAAGAGCTAGTTCCAGGACAGTCAGGGCAGTGACGCGGAGAAACCCTGCCTCATCCTCCCCCCATCTCAAAAAAATTTATGTTGTTATTTCATAGCTGCAATTTTGTAGTATAATACTGCTACGCAGGATTGTCTAATTGTATATATAACCATACGGGACTGAGGGAAACAAATGGGAAAGGAATGAGTCAAATTATCTTGATTTGCATATGATATGACAGTATATATATAAAAAATCCTAAAAGTTCTAATGGGGAAATCCTATAACTGATAAACACTTCCATAAAACAAACATGGCACAAAATTAACACAGAGAACTGAGTAGTGGACAAATGGCGGACTGGGGAAAAATCAGGGAAACAATACCCTTAACAATTGCTCCAAACAAAAAAATAAATCTTAGGGTAAATCTAACTAAGGAAGCGAAAGACTCGTACGATAAAAACTTCAAGTGTCTGAAGAAGATATCAGAAGCTAAAAAGATCTCATGTTTATGGGGTGGTTGGTTAACAGTAAAAATGACCATTCTACTTAAAGGAAATCTATAGGTTCCCTTTAATCCTCATCAAAATTCCAACACAGTTCCTCATAGCTCTCAAAAGGACAGCTTCATATGCAAACATAAAAACTCAGGATAGACAATCCTGAATAATAAAAGAACTGTAAAAGTTATCACCATCCCTGATTTAAGGCATGGTATTAACACCCCCCCCCCCATACCCACAAGAAACATTGACTAATGGAATCAAACTGAAGGTCAAGATGAAAATTCAAACACTCACAGACATCTGGTCTTTAATTAAGAAGCCAGAAACACAAACTGAAGGAAAAAACTCGCACCTTCACCAAACAGTGCTGGTGAAACAGGATGTCAGCATTGCAAGATGTGATCCTAAGTGCTGGGATCACACACACTTGGGATCTCATGCCTTTAATTCCAGAAACGGAGGCATATCGAGACAGGAGTGATACGGTAGGACAGAGAGAGGTACATGAGGAGATGACAAGAGCTCACTGGAGCCTGTGGTTTGGTACAGACACTGTGCAGTCTAGCCAGTCTGAGGACTGTCCCTTTGGGCTGAGCATTAGCAGAGGTAAAATGTCTCTCTAGTGGCTTACTGCTCTGCTTCTCTGATCTTGTGCTTTAATTCCTGTATCTGACTCTGGGTTTTGATTAATTAAGATCAATTAAATTTGTACTACAAAAGGTCAATATCTAAAAATACATAAATAACCAGAAAAAGACATGAAGAAAACAAACAAAAATCAATTAAAGACAGATACAGAAGTAAAATGTGTAAGAATATAAATAAAAATGTTAATATCTGCAGTCAGCTGCCAAGTTTGGTAGGTCAGCACTCTAGAGACAGAGGCAGGCAGATATCTGGTTCAAGGTCAGCCTGGTCTGTAGAATGAGTATTAGGACAGGAATAACCAAACGGAGAATCCCTGTCTCAATCCCACCCCCGCAAATCAGCAATATTCACCTCAAGACATTGATACTCATCTTACACCAGTAACAATGAAATATCAATAAAACAAATAATGGCTCACATTACTGAGGATGTGGAGTAAGTCATGCAAACTTGTACAGCCACTATGGAAATCAATATGGTGGTTTCTTGGGAAGATGGGAATCAATTTATCTCAGGATCCAGCTATACTACTATTGGTATAGTCCCAAATGATGCTAAATCCCAAGACACTTCTTCATCCATGTTCACTGCTGCTTTATATAATATTCATAATATCTATATGTTAGAGCCATCTAGGTTCCCATGAAGAAATGAAGTAATAAGGGCGGCAGGGCTGCGTTCTCAGCACCCCCGGCCGCCTGCCCGGCTAGCTTATGCCCAAAATAATTACACAGACACTGTATTCTTTTAAGCACTGCTTGGCCCTTTAGCTCTAGCACTTACAGGCTAATTCTCACATCCCGATCAACCCATCTCTAATAATCTGTGAGAACCGGTCTTACCGGGAAGATTCTAGCCTAGTCCATCCTGGGTCGGAGCTTCATCCCAGGAGCGGGGCATGGCGTCTCTCTCTGAGGCGTCTGCTCCAGAGAGGAGAGCTGTCGAGACTCTGACCTCACTTCCTCTTCCTCCCAGCGTTCTGATCTGTTTACTCCACCTACCTATGTCCTAACCAATAAAATGGGCCAGGGCAGTTCCTTTATTAGCCAATGACCTTCCTCCATCATTTCCCCTTTTTCGGTTTAAACAAAAAAAAAAAGGCTTTAACATAGCAAAATTACATATAACAAAACAGTTATCAAGTAAAAGTTACAATAATCTTTATCATAACTAAGGAAAACTATAACTATAACTAACTATTCTTAACTCCATCAAAGACTCCAGAAAGATACACTACTACCTAAGCAAACAAGAAAAAAGCAACTTTCAAACTCTAGAAATGACAGAGACATCTCGCTGCCTGGACAGTCACCCAAAGTTCCTCTGTACCGTTGGGGCATCCATCTTCAGCCTTCAGGCCCATGGTATCCAGCAGACATTTCCATAAAGCAGGAAAATTCAAAGTCAGTTCAGTCACTATCTGTTGTGTCCTGCAGAATGTCTTGCAGACTCTTTCATGAATCAGGAACCCTGAAAGATCATCTCACCTTAGGCAAGTTCAGTAGTCCTCTCTCTGTGGGTTCTGTGTCCAGTTTATGCAATAGTCCAGGCAAGAGCAGTTTCTTGCCCAAATGG